GCATATGTCTTCACAATTGCACCTGTTACCAACATGCAAAGGAAAAACAATTATGTCCAGCTTCTACATGTAATATCTCTTTTTTAATTTTAAAAATACTAAATTCCAAAAAGAATGGTACAAGAATTTCCCTTTACATTCTGTGTTACTAAAGCACACTGTGTGCATCCTTCAATACCAACAAACATATTGAAATGATTTCCTTCATCCTAAAACATTTGCAAAATCAATTTTTTAAATATTTGAAATCATGTGTTATTTACTCGCTTGCAGTCTTCTTCTTACTTACCTTTGTTGCTTGTTACTGCCACTAACTGTCAGTGGAATAACATAAAACCTTTTGCAGAATTGTTTATCAGTTTGTTTGCATTGTTTCTATGATTGCCTTCATGCATGTGTGTGATGCAAATATAACAGGGTCCCCCTCCTAAAAACATTGCTCCATAGCACTACTAGTGGTTGTTCTTCAACTTATTATATTGCTCAAGTTTTCATAAGTACCATAAATATGTTTCACTGTATCTAAGAAAGGCCTTATGAAGCAGATTTCTCTTTGTAGCCCGCCTTGGCTTTCCTAGAGCAAACAGATGAAGCCACAAGACAAATTGTGAACAGTGAACAAAAGCATGGCAAATAGACAATGGCCTAGTGTTCTCAAGATAACACTATCAAACATCAAATTCTTTAACTCCTCCGAGCTTCTTTATCTGTGCATGAACAAGCTACATTTATCATGTGCTTTCTGTAACAAAGGTTTGGCATGTTCCAACCAGACGTTCAATCTCATACATTTTTGGACCACACAAAGACCAGCTGTCAGTCTGCTGATAGTGCTTAAGGATAAGAAGTCATAATTTTCTTCATGCGTACAACAAATCAGGCAGTCAGGTAATGACTCAAATATGTGGAAAAAGAATGAAAGCATCTCTAGGACCCCCCAAAAAAGGAAATCTTGTAGTTGCTTTTTTACAATGACTTTCTTCTGTACTTCAAAAAAGCATCTCCCTCTATCTGGATATCATTTTCATTTTTCTGTGTAAGTGCTCCCTTGGCTTAGATAGGCTGAATAGCTCCAAACATGCCCTATTGAAAAGATATTTTTCTATCTAGTGTTTTTCCTCTTGTGTTTAATTTTGCTTGATACTGTGCTGCTGTGTGTTTTGTGCGTAACTGAAGATTTATATAGCTCATAATCTGTTGTCCTTTGAGGAAAAACTTGATAATGGCTCACAAATCCGAGCTCTGAATATATTTATCTGGACTTTGAAAGGAATTTCCACTTGATCATTCAACATTTTTAAAGCCAGTTCATAAACCAACAACAACAGGATATGGTGGCAGTATAAATAGTTTCGTATAATGTAATTTCTGTTCAGATTTATAAATTTTACCATCAGGGATGCAATAAGAGGTTTTCACCGTGGATGTCACTTTTTTTTTTTTTTTTTTTTCAGACAGGAAGCGAATATGAACAAGAAATAAACATGGCGGCTCGCAGTGTGTTGATGTCTATTTGGACCTCGTTTACGGGTTTAAAATTAGGCGTCACAAGCACCAGATTGAGTGCTTTTCAAAGGATAAATGTTCCTCAGCTCCCTACTTTAACCATTCAGAGTAGAGGAGTCCGCCAAGGTGAGACTTCCTTGCAAGCGTTATGATTTTAGTCTATCAATGTCAGAACAACTAGCTAGGATGCTAACATAAAAGGCACTCTTTGAGTTATCTCAGCAGTTATTTCATCATATGAACATCTGAACACAACATGCACCTCCAAGAAAATACCGCGTTATCTTAGGATTTTCGAAAACTTAAAAAAATACTAACAATAACTATTAATTTCAGAAAATAGCTTCAACGTTATGATAAGCCATGCTTTCATGGAGGTGGTCCTCTGTGGAGAGCTTTTCTTTTAGTGTGTTAAGGCAGAAATGTGACTATGAGCAAAGGCACATTTTAATATTAATTAAAATACACGTTTTAAAAGCTCGTCGTACCAGAGTTCGTTTTAATTATTCCGTTGTATCCATCCTAGTCCTGACTTTACATAAGCTGGCGTGTTATATGCGATAGTATTAAACAATTTGTACAGAACGTGATTATTTATCTAAAGTCAACAAATATATTTGTGGCATAACTGGAAAAAGCTAAATAGGTATCAGTTGTAGTTTCAGTTATGCAATGTTTGAGTCAAGATTACTGTATGGAAACACCGTATGTTGTAACGTTTGATTTAGTTATAATAGGAGAGAAGTTATTTGTTTTTTATTGGCTGTTAAATTAATTGTAAGAAATGGTTGTCACTTGGACCATAATCTGCAAATATGTCTCTCAACAATTGGGAAAAAAAGTTGCTATTGGCTTAACATCAGTCTGTATTTGTGTTACAGTGGTGGAGAAGCAAGAGGACAAAACAACAATGGTAAGTAAAATCATACTGCAAAGTGAAATTGATTGAAATTGATACTCTCCTTGCAGTCTCTCTCTCTGTGGTGTTTTGGTTGTTAGATATTCATATAACCCTTAATCACTTTTTTTTTGTTATAAAGATCCACTGTTTTGATGAAGTTTACAGTTAGAAAAGCTCTGTGGGCTGTTTTTGATGCACCATGACAATCAAACATCACGTTATTAAGCCATTTTAATGAATTCTGAAGTAGTGGTGAGCACTGGCCAAGCGGCAATGATACATCATAGTAAACTATTTCTGAAATCCTTAATTGCTGTGACTTGTATTACATAAGTCTGTTTTCTTAAAAAAAAAACCTCCACTGCTTTGTCATACACACTTATGTAATAGCAAGTACGCCAATAAATTCTCACTTGCCTGGAGCCTTTCATCTGCAGAGCAGGGCTTGTCAGGTTCAAGCAGTGTTGTGCAGTATATCACAGCATTGACATTTTAACCCTAGGGGGTTGATTGCATCATTGTAACCTTGAGAGCACAGAAGCACAGAAGCATAAGTTTCATCTTGTTTTCCAGAGGAGAGGCACTGTCAGGTGTGACGAAATGAAATACAACCACAACAACTGCTTTGATCTGAATCCACATACCCCATCGTTAGACATCACAGTTGGGGAGAGGGATGCATTCTTTCTTTCTTGGCACTTGTAAATATTCAGTGAACCTGACAAGGAACTTACCATAGCTTATTATTAGACTAATTATAGTAGTGTTTCTCTTTCAAGATTGAGGGACAAATCCTGGATGTTCCAGCAGGACCACAACCTCCAAACCCCGAAGCAAAGTGTCCAATCTACAGATGGAACCTGCAGCATAAATACAACTACACGGTAAACATATTCACAAGCATATGATAATCAAATTATCTCAGCCATTATGGAAAGTGTAGCAGCAGTTTAAAATACCTGATTTTTGTCCCTCATTTTTTCATTTAACCTCCTTCAGGATGTCTTATTGCTCAGTCAGTTTATCAGGTCAGATGGAGGGATGTTGCCCAGGAGAATCACTGGTCTCTGTCCACAGGAACATCGCAAGATTGCCATTTGTGTGCAGATGGCTCACAGAGCAGGTCAGTGTTACTGTCTGCTTCATGTCTGTGTAGCTGCTATGAAGTCTGTATTCTCTTCAAGCTCAAAGTGCTGTTTTGTACCATTGTGCACCAGCCTTACTGATGAGTAATTATGACAGAGTTTCAGACACATCGAAGCTAAATTAATAAGCATATCTATTTTTCTCCTCTCTGTTCAAGGTCTGCTTCCTGACCACAAACCCAAACTTCCAGAGGGCCATGTCCCAAAGAGACTCAAGCCACAACTGAACAGGTGATGTATACAGGTCGATTTGCTTGTGTGTGTTTTTCAGCATCTGTCTGGATGGGTCCCAGTGCAAATCAGACTTTGAATAATTTTTTCTTCCATGGCTGCTTTTTGTTGTACAGATACCTGACTCGCTGGTCTATTAAATCAGTGAAACCCATCTATAAAGCAGGACTGAAGTGGTGTAAGAAACGCATGTCTGTTGGCCACCCGGCACTCAAGAACAATGTGCGTTACAGCGTCAAGCCTCTTTACATCAAACACTGAAGGACAGTACAGCGACCCTTTATGCAAGGATGCAGTGGGTTTTCACATCTTTTAACTAGATTTGTGTAATTTACCGACTGTTGTCATACTGCCCTGGGAAAAGCTTCAACCATCTGTATTTATTCCATCTTTTGTTTAAGTTGCATCATGATTTAAATTAATCATGCTCAGCACCACCCAGAAACATCTATTCTGTCTCTGTTGGTTTTCAAAAGGACTTTGAAGTCAACACACTGACAACTTAATGTGAACAACTGGGTCAGTGTTACACTTTCAATGTAGGTGGCATGTTGACAGTGGATACTCAAGGCAACACAGATGTGCAAATAAAATGTCTGACTCAGCCTCTCAACGTGTTTACTGTAGAGAAAATGCTTTTGTGCATGAGGACTAAAAGGAACAAAAAGCCCACACTGCATGACTATTGCTTAAATTTTTCTTTTTAAATTTTTGGATGAGTATATATTGCATTGTAGGAGTGTTGCTGGCTTTAATATTTTGGTTTTGTGACATAGTATTAACAAAGAAAACATGTAGCTTCAAATAAGTCAATAAGATATCTCTTTTTATAGCATGAAGGGAAGGTCCAAATTCTTGGTCCCATCACCGATGTAAATGTATCCGTGCTGTGGCGTCATTGGCACATGGTAGAAGGTCAGGCCAAGCCACAACAGGCTGCGAAGTACACATGCTCTGCTGGCACATTCAAACTGGAGACTCCATGACCCTACACACAAACAGAAGACTTGTGAACAACAGGCTGCCACGTCCTGTTCTCTGGCCACAGAGGAATTCAGTAATCGTTGGTTATCATTCCGCTAACATCATGTTCACATGGTAGAGATGACCAAGAGATGCTCCCTTTGTGCTTTTGATATCTACAGTGTAACCCATTTCTCAGTATTTTCGGGTGTGACTGTGAACCTAAAACCTAGGGAACTGAGAACAAGAGCTGGATCAGCTACTATGTAAACAAAAGCCATTTGATTGATTCCATTACGCAAAAGGGAGAAGATTCCAATAAATAAGATACTTGTTTCACCACTTTTGTCTGTAAACTTATCTGAGAAAGCATGACACAACCAAGAATAAAAGTGATTTATAAGTTTGGTATGTGACATGTAACATCCATTTTAAAGCTGCTGTTGTGAGGTAGTTAAAGCTGTCAATCAGGAGCTGGAAACATGTTGCAGGATTGCTGTGGAAAAACAGCCCAGTTTGGGGTCTAAGACAAACACCTATCTTTCGGTTGGAGGTACATTATATGGGCAGTGCTGTGGTTGCACTCTCGCCTCAGCTACTGTACAACCCTAAATCAGAAAAAGTTAGGTCTGTAAAATCAAAACTGAAAATAGTGATTTGTAAATCCTGTGTTCTGTAATACATTGAAAACAATACAGCAGCACATTTTTTGATGTGATACCTCATCAATTTTACACTTTGTTCAAAATAAACATTTCAATTCTGGTGCCTACAACACATTATACACACACACACACGTTGGAACGGTTGCATTTCAGGGCTAATAATGAGGTAAAACGACGAAATAATTCCATTTGAAAAAGGTCACGTCACACAGGTGACTGCAATCACAATTTGGTACAAAAGTGGCATCCAGGCCTTTAGGAGCTCAGATGGGCTGAGGATCTCCAGTTTGCCAACATATGCATGAGAAAATTAAAATGTTAAAAAAAAAAAAAAATGATGTTCCTCAAAGAAAGATACAGTAGGAAGGGATTTGGATACGTCACCCTCTATGGTGCATAACATCATTAATTCAGAGCCCTATGTCAACAGTGTCCAGAAGCGCAGTTGACTGCTCTGGGCTTGAAGGCATGTGGGATGGACCATCACAAAGTGGAAACGTGTACTGTGGTCAGACTAACCACTATTTCAGGTCTTCTTGGAAGGAAAAGGGTGCAAGTGCTGGACTGGCCTGTCCCCAGTAGAGAATATGTGGCACATTTTGAAATGCAAGTTGTGTCAATGAAGACCCAGGACTGTTGCACACCTTAAGACTTGGGACAAAATGACGCCTGACATATTTAACTACTTCGTGTCCTCAGTCTCTAAACATCTTTTAAGTGTCGTGAAAAGAAACAGCAACATCACACCATGGTAAGTGCTTTACTGTCCCAACTTTTTTTTCTTTTGACTGTGTTCCAGGCATCAAAATTGAAGTGTGCTTATTTTGAATAAAGAATAAAATTAATGCGGTATCGCATCAAACAGTATGCTGCTGCCTTGTTTTCAGTGTGCAATACACATGATTTACAAATCACTATTTTCAGTTTCAATTTTACATACTGTCCCAATGGTTTCTGATTTGGGGTTGTACAAGGGTACAGGTTCAAACTAACAAACCACAGGACACACAAGAATTTCATACAGCCAAGGGGGAAACACATGAAACACAATCATTCGAGGATGCCTCACGTATACAGAGTCTTCTTATGTTCCATCTCATCTTCTATTCCCTGAGCGATAAAATCATCTTTAATCCCAATACTCTGCCCCAAAACAAGATTCGATGGAATTTGTAGTTTTTCCCTTCAGAATCACCAAGAAAGTCTGCAGAGCAGTCCTTTGCTCAGCGTTTAAAGTATGCCCGCTCCCGGCGACGAGCTCCAAATAAGTCCATTGTTTATGAAATTAACAATTTCAGTGTAGCAGCCAACCACAGCCTTTGTGTTGAGTTTGCATGTTCTCCCGTTGCCAACCTCTCAGTCTTGTAACTTTTCCATTTCATGCTTTTAACTACCACAAAATGATATATGACAAATCAATATTAAAAGGCAAAAAAAAAAAACACCCTGTGGGAAATTCCCTATCTCCAAAAAGCAAGTCTCCACAAGATCTTTAGCATACTGTGAAAAATCTAGCCTGCTTCTTGGAATGCTATAAAATCTACAACACTTGTGCACTTTGGATAGGCAGTAGCAAGAGAGCTATAATTTGCTTATTTCCTTAAATTAATATTATCCCTTGAATTTTTTTGTATAATTTTCCACATATTTGAGTAATACCATTTATCAGTTTGGTTCCTGGTGGTGGTGGTCTTTTTTTTTTTTTCCTCCAAATCCCAGCAGAGATATTTCTAATTCACCAGAAGTAGTTGGGAAAATTTCCTTTAACTTCTCTCCCTCCTCCAACTTACTCCCAGACAAAAAAAATAAATTCCATCTGGCAGTGTGGCTGACAGAAGGTTTAATTCTTGCTCAACTGACTATTTTACAGTAAAAAATGATTCAGTTGTCTCACTTGGAAGAAACCCCCTTTTGTATAACCATAATTACTATATTAAAGTCCCATTACTTGTATTACAACATAAGGTTTCCAAGTGTCATGCTGTATTACTGGAATCGTAAAGGCCTCATTAACACATTACTTCTGAATATCATGTATCTGTTGTGTTTTTGGGTGCAGATCACAGGACGACCTTCTCTACTGCAGTTTTACTTACAAAACCTGCTAGAGCTCATTGTTTATAAGGTGCCAACTGAGAAGGGTGTTAGTAAAATACCTGCAAAAAATGCTTTAAGATGTATTGCTGTTTTAGTTCTACCTTATGCAATTGTATGTTTTAATGTGACAGTAGACTGAACTTTGTGTTTTCACCTTTAGGAATGTCATCACTCAGAACATCCAGGAAGTCAATAGCTGGGTTCAGTTCACCCATCTCCAGGATGGATTTTTTATTCAGATTCTTTGGTTTGCAGAAGTGAAAGAAACTGTCAAGCTTCCCTGCCTCTGACTGAGACAGACCTGAGGAAAAATGCACGTAGATAAGAAATTCCAACTTTCACAATTTTGAAAAAAGTATTATGAAATATTATCTAAAATGTTGTTTAGCATATCCACTCAGTTAAAATCCAAATCACATTTTAATCATGCTTTATGAAATACCACAGGGTCAATCACATGCAGCAGAAAATGCTAACACTACATAGTGACACAAGCCGACCCATACCACCAAAGGTACGGTTCATCTGGACAAGGCCATGTGGATTCTTGACAAAGGCGCCACGAGGTACCACAGATGCTTCCTCGTCGATCTGATGAACAGTCACTGCTAGTCGGTTCTCCTCTTTGACTTTGGTCTGAAACCATGAACAAATCACTAAGCTGGAATTTCTTGAGATCAGAAAACAAAATCACTGAAACCCCTCAGCTTTGACATCTAAACTGCAAATTTATTTTTCACTAACCCTTCACGTGTACCTTCCTACAGGATTATTTTACAGTCTCATGTTATGATGCAACAGTGAAATGTAAAAACACTTGGGAAGCACATGGTCTTGAGTTTAATCTGACACCCTTCTTTGTTCAGTTTACAACTACCCAGTATTGCTCCTACTTACCACTATCCCCTCCTCTTCAGCTTTATCCCCCTCTCCTTGCTTGTGGATCTCAAGATGCTCATACACATGTGAGGGGTCTCCTATGAAGCGACCCTTTGCAGCTTTGGACACTTGCTCAATCATACTGTCTGTGGCAAGGGGCAACAGGAACCAGTCCATGCAGTTGAAGCTGGAAATAAACCACAGGACACAAACAAGCATATCATACAACAACTGGGGAAAACACTGCATGAAACAGTCACATTTGAGGATGCCTCACCTATACAGATTCTTCTTATCTTCCAGCTCATCTTCTCCTCTTCCCTGAGCAATGAAATAATCTTCCTTTAATCCCAGTATTTTGCCCCAAAACAAGACTCGATGGAACTTGTAGTTTTTCTTCAGAATCACCAAGGAAGTCTGCAGAGCAGTTCTTTGCTCGACGTTTAAAGTATGCCCGCTCCCGGCGACGAGCTCCAAAGAATAGCATAGCGAGTTTGAGTCCATTGTTTATGAATTAAGCGATTTTTATAACGTAGTTATCTGTTTGCTAGCCAATATAACAGCTAAACAAAGCCTCCAAGTACTAGCTCCACTTAGGTTGCTACTGACAACAAGCATTTATGGTCGTCATAGCAACGATACCTCCCCTTTTCCTTTTTTGTGTGTCGTGCCGCCTCTAGATTATATAGGCCTATCCGTGCACTCACTAAATATGATCAAGAAACAAATAAAAAAATTGTTAACAGCTCAGCAGCCGTGTTTGTTTGGGTGTTTATATAAACCAGACATCCGCTAGTGCGGTCTGACCTCATAAATTGTGTCAGCCAGTGCATAAAAGCAGCAGTACGCATGTAGACGGAAAGGAAATCACTATGGCTGTATTCAGTTTGTAATGTCTGTTGTAACATGCGCTGAAAGGGAATGTTGATGTGGAATTCGTGGCATAATTTATTCCGTTTAGCAAGAACGGCTAAGATAAAAACACTTCTCTATTATTGCATCCCGTGTTATCCAGCTCTACCACCAACACTGTCATAACACCAGACAGCTTTTTCATCGCACATGATTCGAAAAGCACAGGTGTTAACTGACATTGTTAATGACGGTTCCATTTGATTTAAGGGTCCCAGTAACCCCTGACAATGAGGACACAGGCATTTCATGCTTTAAATCATGGAACACATAACCTAACTGGAATGCAGCCATGTAATTGAGTATACCTATAATTTCAACGCTCTGTAATTTTGGTCTCTTAAACACATGACGTAGTAACACTTAGACGAACATACAATAAGTATGACAAAAGACACCTGTTGAAAATTGCTGCACCACCGTCACACATATTTTCGTGTTGCATAGAAAAACTGTAGTGCAATAATGTGTAGGCATATTGGCAATATCATAAATCAGAACACAAACTGGTGAGGATCAATCTCTTAGCAGATCTATAATTAACATATCCAAGGAAAACAAAACAGGTGGCAACTAGTAGAAAACCACAAGAACTCAACTAATACGCCTACAGGTCTCCAAGTTGGGTGAAAATATAAACATAATAAAGCAGGAAACAGATCAGCATATACACAGTCTATATAAATTGCCAAGCTGAGGGGCAAGTTCTTAATACATTTTCCCCCACAGCAACCAGAGAGAGTGGGGAAATGTCTTAAAAGAACAAATAAATCAAGTATGAGAGTGGCATGAGCAAACTGACCTCACAGGAGTGAAATAACAAAGGGTAACCACAGACAGAGGAGGGAGCTGGATAGGAGTCCAAAACAAAGAAACCAGATAGAGAACTCAAAATAACAACTGCAAACACCATTCCAAACAGGACAGACTGGCAACTGGCTAAATGGTAGACAGGACTGAGCCAACAAGCAACAGGTGTAATTGATCAAGGTTAATCCATGGCCAGAGTAAAGCTGGGGCAGTTGAGATAGCACGAGACAGGAATTATCTTAATAAAAGTCCAAAACAGGAAGTCTATGGGGATAATGACAGTCCTTCTACACTACACGATTATTAAAATATTTCAATGTAGTTTATGGAATCACTTCGTGATTTTCTTTCTAAAGAGGAAAACCCCACATTGTTGAGCTTTTTCAGTCTCCCTGTTTCACCCATGTAGCTTGTGACAGATAGTGAGGGGAGCATGAAAAGAAAGGGATGGACCAAAGTGTCTGGCAGTTTTAGTATTTGGAAGACAGAATCAAGGCCGTTGCACAGCTGGCAAGATGCATACTTAGATACCACTACTATGACTGCATGACACATGGGAATAGGAGTGAATAATATTTGGAAACCATCTTAGCATGCATTTCCCATCTACACCCAGTCACTGTTTGTTTTTGTCAGCATATTATGGAATAGAAAAGTGTTCTATCCATGTAAGCAAGAGGCTAATTTGATACAGTATGTTCTCCCATGGCCTTAATTCAAAGTAACTTACCAGCTTGTGACATAAAACTCCCAGCACACAGCCTTCTTTGGGCTTACTGCAATTTCATGAACAGGATTTAGGGCCAGAAAATGAGTCACAGTGTGTGTGTGTGTGTGTGTGTGTGTGTGTGTGTTGTAGCGTCGAGGCTATAAAGGTAACTTGGCTATAGAAACATGATCTAGCATGGAAGAGGAGGAAAGGGTCTGGGTCATTGTGCTAAATATACTGTTTGCAGTTGGTTGTTTTATCTGTGTTTCACAGCCAAACCTGTTTGTTTTTCAAGGCTGATGTAGCAGAGTTTATTTTGATAGTGTCAAAAAGCACTACAAGTGGCAACTGGCCTTGCTTGAGGTTCTTGAAGACATTTCACCTCTCATCTGAGAAGCTTCCAGTTTTGAGTGCCCCAGGTTTTTTGACTGGGGCACTCAGACTGAGAATCTCCACAAACATACAGTATTTTGATAGTGGAATGCCTCTGTCCGAAATGCATACAATGTGACTTGGTGTAAACTTTATAAAAAAACATCTAATAGGGCAAAAAGAAAAATCTCCTTGATTCATATATTTTCAGTAGTTCATTTATGGTGTCAATCACTCATTCCAGTCACAAATGTCCTTCACGTTTTACAGTCAGCTGTCTGCAATCTGATCTTTAAATGTCTTTATTTTTATAAAATTTTGTTTTTATAAAATTGTTTTGTAAAATTTCTTCTTCCTTCTGCACTAGCATCTTGAACTTGTGGATCTTCTACCTATCTGCATGAGCCTGCATTTTATTAAATCACTTTAATGTACTTAAAGTGTCAGAACTTTCCTCAGTTGTCATTTTAGATCTTTATAAATATTTTTATTCATTACCAGATGGTTGATTTTAGGCAAAAACGTAATGCTGAAATCACACTCTTTGCAGCATATGGAGCAAATCCTGTTTAAAAGACACTACATGGACTTTGACTGTTTGGCTTATCCTGGCTGAGATCCAGCAGTCTTAGCCAGTGTAAGCAGTGTGAAGTTGGCTTAAATTGCACATAGAAAAACATAATTGGCTACTGTCCAACAAATGATTTTGAACATACTGCCAGTATTGGGGTAAACTTGTTCTTAGTAATCATATTTTGGTCTGTCACCTTGCTGGAAAGTCTTGGCTTACACCAAGTTAATTGTTACCAGGCAATTTATGACCCTGAAATCTAAATATTATATGTGTGGGTTTCTGAGGTGGGAATTTACAAGTGAGAACAAACAATAGTGGCAGGGGGGGGGCATTCCCACTGAATTTGTCTTCACATGCATATGAGGTTCATATGAAATGAAGCATATTTATTATTCTGCTGCAGCCATATCAGAGCAGTATTAGGTTACTGATAATGCAAGTTTCCTGCTGCTGCCACATTCAGCCAATTTAATGTGAAACAGCCACAGCAGGAAATGAGGAATAGATGCATGCAAATTTCATGTGAATCCCTTGGCCATGAAAAATTGCATAAACAGTTTTAAAAATTTGGTTTGAGTTTGTGAAAATTTTAAGGGCTATAACTTTCAGAACCAGAAAAACACACATGCAGGTTTTCTAATAATTTCTGTAGTCTATGAATTGCCACGTTTGCCTATTCCCATACCACACTCCACACTCCACCTCCAGAGCTCTGTCTGTTGGCTGTAATAGTTCAAACAAAAGGACCTCGGTTTGGAGTCACATGCTTGATCAGCAGTGGTGATTTCAGCTGCCTGGCCCTGTGCCCTGCTGGATAATGTAGTCCACCAACAGGAAGGGAGGGGAGAGTGGGGTGACTTCTCCTCAGAGTACCCCATACAGAAGAGAACGCACAAGTACAACCCCTCACCAACACTCCCACTCATTCACACAGACAAACACACTTTGAGCTTGTTGCTTTGGATGCCACCTCTATAGAGTTGGCAGTCTGGGTGGAAGTTTTAGAGTTGGAAGCCATAGTGTGACTGAGACACACACACACACACACACACACACCCCTGGCTGTTTACCACTTGACTGGGAAGGAAGTAATATTTGGAATGAAGCAGTCCGTTTCTGTCCTGGTCCCTGCTGCTCTGGGAAACTCACCTCCCAGGCGACCAGCGTTGCCATGGCTTTAATCCTGACAGACAAAAGATGGGAGTGCCACAGAGCATGATGCTGCCAGACCCTCTCATTGGTTGGCACAATCCCACGCGATGCTGTGATTGGCCAGGGCCATGTTTATATACAAATTAGAGCAGTCAGAGGTCACATCCATCGATCTTGGTGGTGATGTGAAGGAAACATGACCCCAAAACCTCAGAACTCTAAATGGCTTTAATTCCTGTTTTATACTCACACGCTCTCTCTCTCTCTCTCTCTCACACACACACACACACACACACACACACACACATACACACTACAGCCCCTTCTAAAGTTCAGTGGCCTGGGAGTGCCGATTTAAGTGAATACTGAGAGAGAGGGAGTGAACTGACCAAATAATGGTGTCTGTGGTGCACAAAAGCACAGACAACAACAATACCAAGAATGCATCTAGAGCACGGAATTCACTAGGTTGCACTCTACACACACAAAAAAAGGTTTAGATTAACATTCAATTAACGTTTTTATCTGGACAAGGCATGTTTTCTTTCTCATTTGACCTGGGGTGCCAACAAACTACTCAAAACCAATCATTATTATTATAATCAATAAGTTTGATCTGTACACCTCAAAACTTATTATCATTCCTTAATAACATCCTCATTCTGTGTTCTGTATCTGTTTAGTATCCACATTTTCTGCCTTTCCTCTTAAATCAAAAATAGGCTAGGTTAATATATCAGTATACGTATATGTCATCTAATCAGTTACAAGAAATTACAGTAAAAAAATTCCAAAGATAATTTGAAACTCAAATTTTACCCACCTGAGCGCAATGGTACTTTTCCAACTGGAAAACGCTCTGCTTATCAAGTCATTTAAATGACTCGTTGGAAGTGACAGTGGTGCGGTGGGTAGAGCAGCCGTCTCCCACCCAGAAGGTTGAAGGTTCGAATCTCAGTGCCTGCAGTCCACATGTTGAAGTGTCCTTGGGCAAGACAGTTAGATGTTAGAGCATCAGTTGAGTTGGTGCCACAGATGGCTGCCATCGGTTCTGTATCGAAAACAAATTCCTTGTGTGTAACATACTTGGCCAAATAAAGGTGATTATCCTTACGTTATGTATTATATCATAAATTTAAAAATAAGTTGCGATTTTACATTGGTTTATTTGTTGGGCTGTAGCTTCATATTTACTGTGTGTGTGACAGTGGTATCAATGTTCTCTTGACAAGAACATCAACAATATTCCTTTAAAACACAAATAATATACAGATCTGTAATTTCATAAAAAATTCCCATAACCATATAATTTTGCATGTACACTTGGACAATGTTCAGATATTACATTTCCAATCAGCTCAGTTAAATTGCTAGAATAAGCTGGAGTCATATCACTGCACAGTAGGTCAGATAAACATGAGGAAAAAAAAAACAAGGAAATTTATTTATAGGCAAGGATATAGTTCTAATGAATGTGCATTTACCTGACTTTAAAATGAATGTTTCATTAGGTAATTGCCTTTTTTTCTATAATTAGTACCAAATTACATACCTTACTTTTCCCTCAGGAAATGTCTTTGAAATTGTTAGAAAATTATAGCCCCCCAAAAATAAAGTGTCAAACTAATTTAAAGCATAACTTTCAAAAGTATTTGTATGCTATGTGTTTCTGTTAAAAATACTTTTTGTAGGTAGTGGCTCTATATGAGGAGCTAAGGAGAGAAAATGTTTTAGAAAGAGTGAGTCATGTGTGTGGGTTAGAAGACTTAGGTGATCAAATGCAGAGCACTGAAAGTTTGTGCAGTATCTTCCATCAACAACATGAAGATCCATGCAAGCTGTGTGAATATGTGTTGCCCCAAACCGCTCCAAGTTTGCATGCATCTGACTCAAACTGCAGATGAGATTTTCACACACCCATCGCTAGAAGCCAACAACCATGTGTGCTGAAACCGAGCCAGTGAGTTTGTGCTGTTGGGTCAAACTTCTGACATAAACTGCTTCTCAGTCTCCTGCTGCTTTCGTGTTCACTTTGCTCTTGCTCCACTGAGCTAGCAGAAGACAAGCCTCTCCAGCAGTGAGCATGCATTAAACACACATTAAATAGACACAACCCACAGACAGAATATCAGGTGTCTCACATCAAACTCTGATCTCTTTCCCAGCTCATCCTCAGAGCCGTGGGAGAAGTATATCTGCAAGTTATTAGTGCCCCCGCATTCTGGCTCTGCACGGCTTTCTCATGTGACTTTGTCTGTTCAAAGTAGTCTCTAATCTCTTTACACAAGAGTAATTTCTACACGATGATTATACTTTCGTTAAAAACCAAACTATATCACTTTCAGCATACTGGAGCTCATTTAGCACCGAGAGCCGTCTTTGTTGCTTAATCTCACACAGTGGAAAAAAATACTTGAGCAAGCATAAACAAGTGAGAGGTTGTTTTGTAATACTTCATCTTTGTTCAGCATTAGGGGTAAAAGCACAGTCAATAACCTTCATACACAAAGTTTATAGTGCTCTAAAAAAAGATTAAATAAGTGTCTCTTCTCTGTAAACAATCCTTAAACTTTGTGTGACCACTGACTAAATATCCAGTTATTACTAGTAGGTAATATGTCATAAGGGGTGAAACTGGGTTCATGAACTACTCCCCTGCCTATGTTTCTGATTTTTTAAGTGTTGTGAGGTTTCATTACAGTACATTCATCCTCACCCAACAGCAACTCCTCCCCAACCATATCTTAGCACTTCATTACCCATATTTAACAACTGTACTAACCACTACAGCATCCCAAAAGCTCTTACATGACAATAGAGGTCTTTCTTGGCTGAAGCAGGTACTGTGGTGAGAAAGGGGAAAAGAGGAAGTGAATGGAAAGGGAACAGAAAGGGAGACAACAGTGAAAGATCAGGTGACAAGGTGGAGCTACTGGAACTGCTGCCCTATAAACTGGCTCATACCAGTGTCAGAGCAAGTTATAAATCCTCAAAGCAACTGGGCATTTGTCCTTTTCCCCTGCTGTATGAATATTTCAAAGGTTAAGCTACCCCACTGCAGCTCAACAGTGCCCTCCGATGACAACACACACCACTAACTTTATAGTTGTTGCTGCTTGTAATTAACTCCAAGTTAATTGTGTTTAATATTCAAATGTGTTTCACCATATACAGAGTTAAGGCTGATTTTCTGTTCAATTTTCTGCTTAATCAACCACTGAACATTTACAGGTTTACATTTAGGATTGAATTGTTAAAATGCACATTTTTAAGAAAAGCTGCAAAAACATAATTAAAGACAAATAAACATTGACCTGTTTAAAACATCCCTTCATTCCTGGTACAGCCTCATTTTCTTACCTTAAAAAAAAACAAAAAAAAAAACAAACAATCCTAAGAAAACAAATATAACCATTGAAATGTATGAACTAAACAAGAAAGTTTTTGGCTACAAAACTCCAGCAGTATTGGAATAAATGTTTGTTCTGTGGTTTAAATACAAAAGTAGAAACATTAACTTCTTCTTAGAAAACACAAAACAGGGCCCTCTTAATTCAACAAGTGAATTATTAACATTTGACAGTTAGTCCCTTGGCAGCCGTTTGCTGGAAACAAAAGGCACTGAAGAAAAGTTAAGGCAACATCTGGATAGCAGGAAGCCCTGTCTGTCCACTTCTCTGGCGTCAGCAAAGCTGCACTGATCAACTTGATCAGTGCAGCTCTCTGGCATCAGCGGAGCTGGACTGATTGACTTGCTACACAATTACCTTCACTGCATATTTAGCACCAACGTGTGCAAGAACTGAAATTCATTATTCTTCTGGTAACATCATGATGTGATTAAAATGGCACACTTTGGCTAAACATTGCTTGATGACTTGGTCCTTATCAGAAGGCCTCTGAAACAAAACAAAAAAACATATAACTGTGCTTTATGAATAAAAGTCAAGACTTGGCATGTTTTACAACATGTGTACTATGCTGGTCAAGTGATCCAAATATCAGATAAATTCCTACTGACCTTCTTTCCCGTAGAAAGCATTTAGGTTTAACAAACTGTCCTCACTGAGACTTTAAACTCATCTCTCCTACGATAAGGAAGTTGGACTAGTGTAAAACTGCACAGTGTTGGTCTTTTGAACCCGCTGCATTTTTTTCTTGTAGCATCTGGAGATTTTCTCTCAGTGGGATAGGCCTGAATGCAAACTTTGACCTCAGTACTTATGCTGTTGTAAAAGACGCAGATTTACAAGTGTCGAGGGAATCCTGACTCCAAACCTTTGACTCTGTGCTGAAATACACTGATTCAGCCATCTGACATGCTTTCATCCATTGGGCTAAAGCTAGAGGCTGGACAGTCCTGTGTAGAGCCGTACGACTGCTGAACTGCCGATTCAGACCCCTGAGTGGCGTTGGCAGGTGATTTGGGATTAAGCACTCTGGGAACGTAGACCTGCAATTATACAGTATGAAGGAGAGAGATGAGCTCTGAAAACAAATCAAAGGGGCTCTTAAGGGTGTTTCTCAAAATTCATTTTATTTGTAGTCTTTTACTCTCCCTGATGCGTTTCATGCAGTATTGCATGTAATGGCCAAAGTAGCACTTTGACACAAAAGAACGCTGTTTATAACACTGACCTAGTATTCTTCCATTTCATTTCATTACCTAGTTTGTAGTGTTAAAGTTGTTGGCATTTCTGTAGCCAAAGTAATTAATCATTACTTCTGAAAAGCAAGTATAATAACATAAGATAATAAATAGCACAAATTAATGTACAGCAAATTTACCATAAACTCAGGCCTTTTCTAAATATGTCTGATCTTTCTATTCACACTAGAGAATTTGTTAGAGAACAAGTACTGTACCATGGTGTTTTCTTCTACTCCCTCTGCTGGATCCTTATCCTCCTCTTTCACCTTCAGAAGAACACAAACTATATGAGGGCTCAGTGTGAAGGATGACAAGCGTATGCAAATACAAGCAAATGCTTACCGCATAGTTGTCTGGACTGAGGTACTTGAAATGGCCGAAGCAGGTGTAGCTGACAGAGATGAAGATGGTGATACAAAGGATCACCAGGGTGAAAAGAGATGTGGCAGTCCAGAAACCTGAAAACACCACACAAGCACCCACATAGATAGTTTTAACTGTGACATGGAGATGTTTACCAAGTTGTGACTAATTCTCCTGAGTGAATCTCAGGTACTTTGTCGCTGTTATCTTTTTCCAAGTTAATCCCACTCTTTTTTCTTACCTGTTCTGAGGACAGAGAAGAAGTAAAGCCATATTAGGCAGATAATGGGTGCAGCTAGAGCTTGATTGACAGCTTCCAGGTGGACCTGGCGGTCTAGGCGAGTCGGCAAGTAGGCAAAGTACAGGTTGTGTTTGTCCACCATGTGCTTCAGTAGCATGTACACAAAACCTGATGGGGTCAGACATGCACATCACAGCCATTAGAAACCCCAACAGGGAAGTGACTGGGAATATGTTGTATGAATAAAAGGACACTGAGGTCTCTGGCAAAGTCGAACAGAACACAGTAACCAAGAGAATGGCAAATATGTGTTAAATGAGCAAATGTGTTGAGTGTGTGTGAATGCATGCTTGTGCACAGACCTCCTAACTACTCACCAAAAGGCACAATAATAGGACAAATGATGCTGTAAGCCATAATGACAGTGAACACACAGAGGGTCCATCCATACACAGCTCCATATTCAAATTCATAGGCCTGGTTCTGCAAACAGGAGTTAAACATTTACTTATAAATGCTGAGATGAGGCCAGGAATATCCTATTGTTCTTGTTTCAATTTTCATAGACTTGAGTTTACAGGAAATGACATCACTGCCTAAATCTGTTTGGTTAGAAAATCAACACATCCTTCTTTGGCCAGAGCGCTTAATATATTTATAGTACACGCTGTTCATCTCCTTACAGGGCTGTTTGCATCGTTTATACTGCATAGCCTGGAACATGTGACCAAAGACTTTTTTATACATCTTAATGAAGAAAGTCCATTATAGAAGCAGTGGCTATTTCTAGTACAATGAATGTGACACAGGATCCAAACAGTGAACGATAGCAAAACACCAAAATCCTTCTAACATTACATTTTGTCCAGAGTATAAAGTAT